TGAGGGGCAATGCCCAGCAGGACAAGGCCAGGCAGGCACTGTCTGAGGGGCAGTGCCCAGCAGGACAAGGCCATCTGATCACAGCCACAGTTGCCAGCGGCTCCCATAGGCACAGCTGGTTCACAACTGGCCATGGGATGCTGTGGAGCAGGAAAAAAGGGCAGCCACAATGTGGGGAAAGAGTTGCAGGAGTGTTGTGTCCCAGGAGGGGAGTAGTTACAGAGCTCCAGGACCCCCAGATCAGGACCCAGATATTGCAGGTCACGTCATGCTTTCCTAAATCTGTGAATGCTCACCTCACACCAGTTAGCAGCTAACTAAAGCTTAGATTAGGGACACAAACTCCACACATCTCTTGTGGGTTTCATTTTATCAATAACATTTATACAGTATGAAGTATGGGGCAGATTCTGCACGGGCAGAATCAATCCAAACCTTTCCCAGCTGCAGAGGTCAACTGCTGATGTGCTGGGAGTCCTGGCTGGTGTGTTCCTCTGGTGGGCAGAGGAAGGTGACAGCCGGCTGATGTGATGCAGGTACAGGGGGCTCCTGCATCATGGGCAGGGCGTTCTCCTGCTGCCAGCACCACCCCCAGAACCTCAGATTTGCTAGGGGCAGGCTGGGAGTCCAGAGCCTGCAGGCCAGCCTATAGAGGTGAGGCTGAGATCTCGAGGCTGCTGCTGGATTTCCCCACTGAATTCTAAGTACAAGGCACTGCAAGGCATATAATACAATTTAGATGCATTAGTTCCTGATTTGTGATTGCAAATTGAATTTTGCCTGGCCAAAATCCCAAATACCCAAGTGATAATTAAATGTGTGGAGAATTTGCACTCTCAGTACTTATTATTTATAGACTGAACCCACAAATGTAAATGCCATCACTGCTCCCAAAGCAGACCATGCAGCCTTTGCACAGACAATCCAGAATTCCCAGGATTGTCCTAAGTGCCACAGCATGTCCTTTTCCATGTCCAGCACTGATCCAGAAAGTGTGTGAAGCTTGGGAATGCCAGCCAGCCAACAGTGATGCCTTGAGCGATCAGACACAAAATTCCCCAATCACAGCATAATTCTCACCCTGCACAAGCCATAGGGCTGCACCCTGGAGCACAGGGAAAGGACATAGAGCCTGAAGGACTTTTAAGTAGTTTGGGAGGAAGGATGCAAAATAAACTGTCCCACAGTGGTAATGAGCACCTGTTTCTGCTATCAAAAAAATGGCATTGCTCACTGATACTTAACAGTGACAGCACTGAGCTTTTCAAGTAACCTGTCTGAGCACTCCTGCACAGGCCAGAGCAGTGCTGGGCTAGCCAGGGATCCTTGCCTGGTGGCAAAGACAGGCTATGGAGCAGTCAACATTAACACCACAGCAAGCTCTGCAATAACCAAGTGCTTCTCACAGCAACCAAGTGAGAAGGGACCTTGCAGAGACGACATAACTGGCAAACTGTTCCTGTAAAACCACGTGCAGTCACAGTTTTACAGTTGCCAGCTCTACCCTTGGCTTTCCTGAGGTTCCTTCCCCATAATGCAGACAGAGGGAGAAGAAGCTTTGGAACAGGGCTCTGCTGGGAAAGCAGGATCAGGCTCACTCTCCTCCTCACCACTGTGGACTGCAGCACTAATGAAGCTCAGCACAGGAAAGAGGCAGTCCTGATCTGCCAAGAGCATTTGAAAAGCAGCATTGAACAACCCAGATGGGACCATTTTGATCACTTCACCTGCCAGGCAGCTGCAGATAACGTAAATTCTGACAAGCTTCAGTTTTCACTTAGCTGGAACTTGCCTTTTGCATGCAGGCACTGCAGATTAAATCATTCACATGGCAACATCACTGCCCTGGTCTTCCACAGCTCTCCCCAAAGCACAGACCAATTCTCCTGTAACTAGGAAAGGCCTTTTCAAGTGACCAGGTAAAGCCTTTTAGGGGCCCTAGGGCACAGAACAATGGATGTCTGTGCCCATGTCCGCACACATGCCCGCACTGATGTACTTCTGCTGTGGGCTGATCCCATCTAGGGCATTGTCTAAGCTGTCATTGGGGTCCAGCTATGCTACACAGCAGGATGATGCAGCTGCAGCCAAGGACACCAGCCAGACGGAGAGGACTTCCTCAGCAGTTCCCAAGTCTGCCCAAAACCACAGCTAGGCTGAGGCACCTTAGCAGCCCTTGGAACCATTGATTCCATCTTGGCTTGACTCCTCCTTCCAGTCTGCATTGCTCACAGAAAGTAGTAGGTCACTGCTGCAAGGTAATGGAGGATGATTTGGGTTCATTTCCTTATTTCTCTACTGCTTCATTGGGCACACCCAGTGCTGCCTTTCCTGGGGATGGGGCAGCCCCCATGCCTGTGTCCTCAGGCACACGGAGAGGAGCACCCCGGAGGGTCAGAGCGCCCGCAGGTGCAGAGGAGCTGTGGGAGAGTGCCGGGGGCACCAGCCCGAATGTCGGCATCTGCCGGTGACCAGCAGCGGCGACACCGGTGCTGCTCGCTGCCCACGCCAGGACACGCGTGCTGTGTGCCCGCTGTGGAGCCTCCCGTGCCGGGGTTACCGGCGGTGCAGCACGGGAGGAGCTGGCACCGGGGATGCCGGCGGTGCAGCACGGGAGGAGCCGGCACCGGGGATGCCGGCGGTGCAGCACGGAAGGAGCTGGCACCGGGGGTTACCGGCGGTGCAGCACGGGGAGAGCGGACGCTCGGGGCTGCCGGGGGTGCAGCCTGTGGCGGGGCGTTGGGGGTTACCGGAGAACGACACCGGCAGCAGCGCCGGCGGTTCCGGGGCTCCGCTGACAGGGTGGGGGCGGTACCGGCGGTGCCGGGGTACGGCCGGGGGCTGGGGGCGGTGCCGGCCGCTCCGGGGCACGGCTGAGAGGCGGCGCCGGAGCCGCCGCGGTGCCGGAGCCGCTGCGGAGCCGCTCGGGGGCGGGCCGGGCCCGGCGGCCGTTCCGCCCCCCCGCGCTGCGGCCGGGGCTCGGCCCCGCTCCGTCCCGCGGTGCAGGGAGCCGGGCCGGTGCCAGGGCCGCGCCCGGCCGGGCCGCAGCCCCCGCCGCCATGGCCCGAGTCTCGGCGATGATCAGCCCGGTGCTGGTGCTCTTCGGCTGCGACCTGTGCTTCGTGCGAGCCAGTAAGTGCGGCCGGGCCGGGAGGGCACCGGGGCTGCCGGGCGGGGACACCGTGCCGGACACCCCGGGGGCTGCGGTCATCGCCGCATGCCCCCGCCGGCCTCTCTGCATTCCCGGCATGGCCTTTGCCGCGATCCCCGAGGGCTCCTCGGGCACCCCGCGGCCTCCGAGTCCCCTCCCCGGGGCACGGCCGCTGCCGCGCCGCCCTTCCCGGGGCTCCCGGGGATGGGAACGGGCGCTGTGCCGCGAGGGAGCTCCTGCCCCGGGCACGGACACTCCGGGCTGCGGCGGGCTGGCGCCGGCCGGGTGGCGGGGATGCTGTCCCTCGCTGCCGGTGTTTGCTGGAACATCGAGCTCCGCGCACCCGAGGTACCGCTGTCCTTGTGTCCTTTGACTCGCCGGGGTGGCCTCTGTCAGCAGCCGCTTCATGCTGTCTGTTTGCCCCTCGACAGGTCACTGAGATAGCAAATCGAATCGCGAGTACCGGACGTGTTCTGCTACATTCTGCCGTGTTGCAAAACACGTACTGACGGATTCAGGAAGAGATGCAGTCAGGGGTGTTAAAAAGGGGCCACTTATTTTTAGATGTGCAGTATGGTGCTTACTCCCTGCTGCAGCAGTAAGTTGGGCAAACATCTGGGTGCCCTTGAGCAGCAGCCCCAAGGGCATGGGCCGGGGGGCAGCGTGGCCCGCTCTCTGGATCACAGCAGGATGGCGAGGGCACCGGTGGAGACGTGCCCCATCCCTCATGCCTCTGCAGCACCACTTGTGCCAGCATCCCTCGGGAAGGGTATCTGTCCAGCCCCTTTGCTGACCCATGGAGCTGGGATGCATGGCATATCTGGTCCCATGTCCAGCTGCCCACCACCCATCTCTCCCAGTGCCCTCTGGCCATCCCTTCCAGTGTCCAGCACAGGCTGCAGTGCTGCTAGCTCCTGTACACAGCCCAGCTCTTCCCACCCCTTCATCAGGCCCAAAAGGAGCATGCTGCTGTACAGACAGCACAAAACCTGTGCCAGGCCTTAAGTTAGTGACTGTGCTTTCTGTGGGGGTCCCCCTTTTGTAATATGGCTTTAATAAAAAGTGAAGCTGAATCATTTATCAGCGATGTAGAATTATTAGCAGTTAATGCATTGAGATAAACAGTGGCACACTTTGCCCAGAGAGCCCAGCAGCGTCTTGACTTTATAGCCAGGATGTGTTGGCTTCACAGAATGCTTTTGGGAGCCCTTGCATTCACAGACCTTTATGGCAACAGCTTTGGCAAAACTGCTCTGATCTCAGCTACAGAACAGGCTGAACAGTATTAGATGCAATGTGGGAATTATACACAAAGCTTTGTCCTTTGGAGGCCTTAAAACAGCTTTGAGGTGTCATCTTGAATTTCATAGAATCCTGGGATGGTGTGGTTTGGAAGGGACCTTAAGGCCCATCTCGTTCCACCCCCTTGGTATGGGCAATGGCAGCTTCCACTACATCGAGGTGCTCCAAGCCCCATCCAGCCTGGCCTTGAGCACTTTCAGGGATCCAGCTTTGTTCAGCCTGGTCTGCTGTTGGCTCGTAGGCAAGCAAGGTGTGCATGCAGACAAGACTGGGAGATTCCCTCCCTCTCATAGGTTAGTGATGAAGCAGATCCCCACAGGCAAAACTCTATACAGACACACTCTTTGTGGGATAAAGAATGTTTGAGTGTATCTTTGAATCCTTTCCAGTTTTCCAGACTTGTTTTCTGAAGGAGACAATCAGAACACTATGGTGTCCTTATCTTTGGCAACCCTCTCTTCTGGTGGTGTGTCAAACTTCTGGAGACACACTCAGTTTCAGGGTCTCTCTTAGAACATGTTTTCTGGGCTCTCCTCTCTGTTTTAATTGCCCCTGGCAGACCACAACCCTGAATTTCTCAGAGTGGGAACCAAACCTTCCTCTGGTTTGATCCAAAGCTGGGTATATTCAGATGTGAATGAATGCACTTAAACAGCTGGCCTGCAAAAATTGCCTTTTTTGCAGTCACTGTAACTGGGGTTGTTGCTGGTGTCACAGTTGTCCTTTCTCTTGTTCTCAGGTGCCCCCTGGAACTCTTTTTCTATATAAATCACAGCACTGACCCTGTAGCCCTAGCTGCTATGCTGGCAGCTTGTAGAAGGGCACTGACTTGGATGTGGGGAGTTGGAACCCACAAACAGCAGCTTCAGTGTCTTTCATGTGCTCCTGTGTCTAACTTCCAGACAAAGCTTGGCTTTGTGTGCAGGACTGTGTGGGATCCTGTTGTGCTCTCAGTGCTGTGAAATCTCAAAGTGGCCATGGTGCAGACCATGGGCCAGTCGGGTCAGCTTGCCATAGAACAGCAATGGCCAAGCATTGCTGCCAGCTTTGCAGCCAATGGCGCTGCACTGCTGGTGATCCCTAAGATTATTGGGGTTTTATATTTTTCATGTCTTTGTGGCTATGTAGATTGTTAATGCATGGTTGTAGCTTCTAGTACTTTTCCTATCTTTCTTCCCCACATTTAAGAACAATAAGCTAACCTTATGAATACATTCCTAAAAATATTGTTTAGTCTTATTCCAAGAAGAGAGACAGCTACAAGGACATTGTGTTTTTCAACCACAATCTGGACCAGGCATAACAAAAGTGGGGCAAGAGAAACTTCTGGACTCCTTCCAGTGGGGCAGGACCCCAGGAATTACTACCTAACCAACTAACCTTTTAATTGGACAGTATATGATAAGTATACTAATTGACTAACCTTACAAAAATTGTAGCATTACTATACCATGTGCAATTTTCACAACACTGTGTGCCTGAAAGCCTTCAAGTAAAGGTTTGCTTATATATTCACTCTTAAAGTTGTTGGGAAGATCTATTTTCCAGGCATTACTGGGACAGCCAGCTCTGCCTTTGGCATTGGCCTTCTCCCATGCCCTGGAGCAAGGAGTAATTCCGGGCAGAGGAGATGCCTAGATTGAGTGTAGAGTGTGTCTATTCCAAGGTGCCCCATTTTTCTGTCACAATCAATATATCATCCCTGTGTCAGGGCTGCTTCCTACGCAGTTCTGGGTGGTGCGCCAGGCATTTGTGGCATGCCCATCTGTGGGACAGCCCCAGAGCTCTGCACCTGCACACTCCTCATGCACAGAGTGGACACTGCCTGCCAGCCCAGGAAGCACCGTGGTGTGCATGTGTTTCTGCTGGCAGGGCTCAGGCTTCCCCATCTGCCGTGCCACTCATCTCCTGGGGCCGGGTTCACCAGGGAAGGTCTCCCTGTAGCCCTAGCCAACGTGCTGCCATTGGCAGGTGTGGGAGAGGCCCCAGGGTGATGTGCAGGGCCGAGTGCCTGTTCTGAGACATCCTCTTTTGCCTCTTTCCTGTGCCTCACCACGGTCCATGCCTGGCTCACCCAGACAGGCCACCGTCCCCTGTCAACGTGACTGTGACGCAGCTGAAGGCGAACTCTGCCACAGTCTCCTGGGACGTACCAGAAGGAGATGTGGTCATCGGCTATGCCATCCTCCAGCAGGTATCCAGCATCTGTCCCAGGGGCCTGGGGACACCGATTACCAGCATGCTCCTATGTCAGTCCTTTTGCCACACTACGGGGCTCCTCTGGCATCTGCCCGAGGACAGCTCTGCTGCTGAGCAGCCCTTGCCAGGGTGCCCAACGTGAGCCATCCATCCTGGTGGAAGGCAGAAGACTGTGGGCTGCATTGGGTATAGTCCCTCTAATAGTTTCCCTGGGATTTCTCTAGGTAAGGATGGTGCCTTGGCCATGATGTAACCCTTCTTTGCTTCCCTTGCTCCACCTATGCAGCCCTGGGTGATGGTGGCTTCTCCAGGGAGGTGCCTGGCTCTCAGGCCATGCAGGCATGCTGAACAGGCAGTGCTGGCCAGTCTGGCCCACCCTGGGCTGGATGGTTGCCTGGGAAGGGAGGAGTGAGGCACAGCCCTGCAGCTGGGGGGCCTGTGCCTGGTGCAGCTGGCAGCAGCCTCCCAGGGGTGACAGCTCTTCCCTCTGGCAGAGGCAGGATGGGCAGATGCAGCGCTTCATCCGGGAGGTGAACACCACCAACCGTGCCTGTGTGCTGTGGGACCTGGCAGAGGATGCTGACTACATCATCCAGGTGCAGAGCATCGGCCTGTATGGGGAGAGCCAGGCTAGCAAGCGTGTCCACTTCCGCACCCTGAAGGAGACCGACCGCCTGCCTTCCAACAGCTCCAACCAAGGTGAGGCACCTCCTTCCAGCCTGACCAGGTGCTGCTGCTGGGGCCACACCTGGAGGCCTGTACAGCAGATGGGCAGGGATTCTGCAACCAGTGCTGCACTGAGCAGCAGGCTGCTGGGGACACACAGGGCTGTACAGGCTGCTGTCGTGTCGACTATGTGCCCATGCTAATGTCCCCAAGAGGTTTGCAGCCCTCCTGTCTCAGGTCTTGGCACTTGTTCAGCTAGGCAGACTGGCCAGGACAGCTGCTGGGGCCTGCCCAGCTGCTGCCTGTAGGAAACCAGTACTGAACAGACACTCAGATCTCCCAGTCTGCAGGCTGCCCAAGGACAAATGACAGAGTGTCATGGTCTCCTTTGCTACTCATGTCTGTGTTGCCTTGGGGTTGCTTGCATGCTGGTCCATGAGAGAGCATCAGGAATCCAAGAGAGATGATGCCCCATGGAGGGCACGGCAGTCTGTCTCCAGCAGTAACCATGAGAGGGGTCCTGAGTATGGCAGGGCAAGCAGATGGCTGCCTTTCCTCAGAACTTCTGTGTTAAACTGACCTGACCTACCCTGTTTGCTGTGTAGAGAGAGACCTTAAGGCAGTGCACGGTCCCTACATGAACCTAAACAAGCCTTGGAATCCCTGACTGCCTTTGTAGCAAGGATGTTCTATTTGACCCAGGAGGGCCACAGGATGCATGTCTTCTCCCCATACAGGGTGTCGTCCCACACCCTTCCTTGTTTGGGGGAGGTGGGCTTCTCTGCTTTGGGGTTTCTCAGATCCCACTACAGTGGGAGGATATCTGCTGCCAGCCCTGCTTGGGGTCTGTTCTCTGCAGGTGACATCACCATGGAGGGGCTGGACAAAGACCGGCAGCTGCAGACAGGCGAGATTATCATCATTGTGGCTGTGCTGCTCATGTGGGCAGGTGAGTGCCACAAGCAGCGTTCTGGCAGGCTGAGGCAAAGTTACAGTCCATGGTTCACAGAGAGGATGTGGCTCACAAGAGTGCAGAGGCATATTGCTGAGGGTCTGGCACCCTTCCTCATCAGTCCCTTGAGAATCTGTAGGTGCTAGGGTAAAAGGAGCAACCACAGGCACTGCTCAGCAGTAATGGCCTGGAGTATGTTGAAGAGCAGGAGACAGAATGGGACCTGAAATTACAGGGTGGGAGCATCCCAGCTGACAGTGACCATTGAGTTGCTTGGGCCTTAGATGTCGTGACTAATAACAGTACTGCACTAGCTGGTGGAGGCTGTGCCTCAGTCTGCTAAAGCTGCAGAGTAGGTGCTTTGCTCCTGTATAGCACAGTGAGAGCCAGTGCAGGCAGCGGCTGGGAGCATGGCAGCCTAGCAGGTAAGTCAGCTCCTGACTTGTCACATACAGCTGCTGTGAATGGGAAGTCATTGATCCCCCGCTCCCTCCCCAGTAAATGTGGATTTTGTAGTGGCATCTTGCAGAAATTTCTTGTTGCCCTGGCCTTGACACTTTCCTAGGGCACTGGGAAAAAAATGCAAGATGGCTGCTGGTAGTTTACACCTGGCCCAGGTTGATGTGTACCAGCTGGGAGGAGTCAGGCCTGGTCTGTGTGTGCCTGTGTGTTACCACACACACACTGGGGGTGAGTGAGTCCACCATGGTCACCGCTGGGGCCATTGCTCCAGACTCCTGTGCCCAGGGTTCCCAGGTGTGGGACATGCTGCTTGGGATGCATGCTGTGAAAGCATTACAGAGGGACTGAGCCCACAGCCAGTTTGCATAGACAAGGGCTGGCTTTTGTGAGGATCACAAGCACCAACTCAGTAACTTTAGTGCCTTGCTGGAGGCACTCCAAAAGCCACACAGCTGCCCACCGACCTCACTGTCCCTGTCTGAGTGCCTCAGCATCTGCCTTTAGTGAGTGCTGAGCACCTCATGTGTGGCCCAATGGCCTTAGCCACATCCGTGCCCATCTGCCCAAGGAAGCTGGCCTGGCCACACGTGCAGAGGTACCTGGGGTGGTGCAGGCTGATGCAGGTGGGGGTGTGGGTTTGCAGCACCCCAAGCAGCCCTGGGCACACCTGCCCTGCAGCTGGGATGCTGTGGGGAGGGCAGACAGGCAGGCACTGCGAGGGATCCTTCATGCAGTGTGTCTTTGGGCAGCGGTGATCGCCCTGTTCTGCAGACAGTATGATATCATCAAGGATAATGACTCCAACAACAACAAGGAGAAGACAAAGCCCTCCTCAGAGCACAGCACGCCAGAGCGGCCAAGCGGAGGGCTGCTGCGGAGCAAGGTGAGTGGGGAGGGCTGGCAGCAGGGGCGGCACGGGGCTGCCTGTCTGCTGGGGCTTGCAGCCTGCACAGCGTCTGCCTCTCTCCAGGAATGGAAACGCCCCAGCTTGTGCTCTCACCCCAAAGACTGAGGACTTTTAGGGTTCAGTGAGCCCTGGTCTCTGGGGCAGTGTGTGTACCCCATGGGTGATTGCAGGAGAAACATTGGAAGAGACAACCAGGTGTAACAGCTGGGATGGCTCTTGCACTGGCAGGGTGGTACCTGACCTCTGACTGTAACAGAGCCTTCATCATGCCCCTCCAAGGCTGCACCTCTCCTGCACACACGGACAAATGGACGTGCTAGGCAGCTGTTCTCATGGTTCCTGCACTGGTCTGTCAGTGCTCCCTTTCTGCCTTCACTGCAGCTGGCTCTGAGTCATCAGCATGCAAGTCATTGCAGAGCCCCTTCCTCACCCTGATGAAGTGCTGTGGCAGGCTGTGGATGGGGAGGGAGCAGTACCTTCGTCTGGCTGTTCCCTCAGCACCTGACATTTCTCCCTTTGTTACCTGCCAAAGACAGTGATTTATAGCCCAAATGCTCTAATGGGACCATATGTGAGGGTTTTGCTTGTGTTTCATCTGCTGCCTCTGTCAAGGGTGGGAACTCCCCTCACTGTGTTGACTGACTGCCCCACTGAATCCACATCTTGGTTTCCAGCAGATGTCAGGAGCAGAAACTTCCTGTTTGGACTTCAAATCCCCAGTTCCCCTCCTCCAGATTTTTCAGCTTGCTGATTACCCTTTGCTAGGAGATCTCTCCTCTTGGATCCCTACTCCAAACTGACCCTGCTCTGCTGAGGTCTGCTGGTCTTGAGGCCTGCTGCAGGCTGAGGGGCTCTGACATCGGGTGTGATCCCAGGGGTGCAGCAAAGCAGGTTCTTAAAGCAGATTTTTCTCTCATAGAAGAAATCTCCCTCGGTCAATATTATTGAGGTGTAAGTGCAACACCAGCTCTGCCGTCTGGGATCTCGGGTGTCCTGCCAGAGCCACAGCAGGCCTTGGAAGAAGAGGCAGCACCAGGCGTGCCGCCTGGAACTCAGCATGCGACGATCCACGTACCAGAACTCCCGCTTTCCTGAGGGCACCTGTCTGCGGATGTGCATGGAGCCGGCTCCCAGCCATGCATGCAGAGCGTGGCCCTGCCCGTCCCACCTGGCCCTCCTCCCCTCCGGGGGAAGCATGACCGTGAGGATGTGTGGGAGGGAGCCGGGGGGAGCCGATGGGCTGAGGCACGGGCCTGAGGGGAGCCCACGGCCCTGTGCACCGCCTCGGCCAAGGTCGGGGCTGCAGCTGAGGCACTGCATGGCTGCGCGGCACAGGGGCAGACCTTGCTCTCAGCTGCCCGTTTGGCCTTGGGGCTGCTGCAGAGAGCAAGAGCTGCTCCCCTCAGGGCCCCGGGGCTGCAGGAGCAGGGCGGTGCAGGCACTGCCCAGCACTGCCGGGAGAGCTGCGGCCTGTAGGAGGGCTTGGTTTATCTGTGGGGCCGGGCCCAGCCAGCTCCGGGGATGAGTGGATTGCTGCTGGAGAACAGGGCTCCGCTGTACCCTGTCACCGCTGTGCAGGGCCTTCACATTCTCTGTCTACTGCAGAGGACAAAGACACGAGGGACGATGAGGGGCTGGTGCTGTCACAGTGCCTGGCAGCCCACAGAGCCCGCAGCAGGGCAGGCAGTGCAGGGCAGGGGGAGCGGGCACTGTCCGGGCATGGCTGCGCTGTGTCCCCACAAGGGCTCGGTGCTGGCACATACAGGCTGCTTGAGGGGAGCTGCAAAGAATTTTCTGAGCAGCATGGTGCCTGTGCTGCCTGGAGGAGACAAAGCGGTGAGGCCTGCAAGGTCTCAGTTGGAGGGAATGGGGTGAAACGAGGAAGCTCCCTGCTGCCCTGGCTGCTGCTCTCCCTCCATGCTCTGCTCTGCAGCCTGCCACAGACAGGCTCTGCAGCCCTGGACTCAAGCATCACAGGATCCAGTGTCTTCCAGGAATAAATCTCCCAGTAAAAGCACTTTCAGGACTTTTCCTTCCAGGTGCTGCTCAGCTCCTGCTGCAGGACTAGGTGGGGAAGGGACAGGATAAGCAACTCCTGTGGCAGGGTCTTTTCAATAAAAGCATCCTGGCTCAAAGGCAGCATCAGAGCTTCAGGTCTCTGTGTGTGTCCATGCTTGTACAAGTGCTGTGCAAGAGCTGGAGGTTCCTCCATGGTCACCTCGCACCCCCTGGTCCTCGAGGGAGAACTGCTGCTGCTGCTGCTGCTGCTGCTGCTGCTGCTGCTGCAGGCTGGGCCCTGTGGTGCTGCTGGAGCAGCTGCAGGCTGTCCCACTGAGGGGACATCGTGGCTGCTTCTCTGCAGAGAGCAGACACATCCCAGCAGCAGGGCCGAGAAGGGAGACAGGGTCTGAGCCCGACAGGCTGCTCCCTGCTCGGGTGAGGAGAGGGATACCTGAGGAACAACAGCACCATGGTAGAGGGATGCAGCTGCTGCTGGACTGTGACCTGGGCTGCAGGGAGCATGGCCACAGCTCCAGAGACATGAACACCTTGTTTTGCCTGCTAGCTTTTAGTAAGGAGGTACATTAGAAAAACTAGGGCTGTCAGGGAAATACAAGAGTTTTAAGAATGTTCTAGTGCCCTGGAAAATGTTTAGAAGTTCTGTCTTGGAATGTCATAGCAGACATGCCTACTATCATGAGATTTTTTAGCCAGGCCAGAGGCACACACAAAGAATCACAAAGGGTTAGACTGTGTAGCAGAGGTGAGGAACTAGGGCAGGCACAAAAAAACATCAAAATGCAGAGGTTTTGACCAAATTAAACAAGGAAAACAATTCTGACATTAAATGTAAAATCAGGGTTTGTTGTTGAGGAAAAAGCTCTTTGCCTCTAAAAAACCAAAAAAACAAACAAAAAAACCCCAACCCAACAAAAAAACCCCAAACCAAACCCCAACTCACCACTTCTTCTCAGACTATGGCTGTGCAGGAGGGCAGGGAAGTGCAGAAAGAAGTGCTGGAAGCTGAGGGCCTGACAATGACCTGCTCACCCTGACAAGTTACGTGTTGCTGTGTACTCCCAGGTGAGGGAGAAAGGCATGAAACCACATTAAATATGCAAAACCTCAAGTGAAAAAAACCATGCACAGCTCCCGAGTGGACCATGGCACCCCAGTGCCTATGGCACTTGCTGGGAGCCTGGCCCTGCCACCCCAGCTGCAGCCAGCCAGCAGTGCCCAGCTGGGCTGAGCTCTCGGTGCCAGCAGCCTGTGCAGAGATGTGATAGGAACCCAGCAGTGAGGGGCTGGGCCAGAACACAGCTGCAAGCTGCCACTTGCCAAAGAAACCAGACATGCTGCAGCCTCCCCTGCGCCATCTGGGAAGGAAACCAAGCCCGTGGCTTGCCTCTGTAGAGCACAGCTGGGGTGCAGCAGGGCAGAGACACTTCAGAGCAGCTGGCACACAAGGGCTTGTGCCTGCCCTGACCTCAGTGTGGTCAGCATCAACGCCTGTCACTGCAGGTGACATTCACAGGTGCTCAAGACACCAGGGCAGCACAGCCTGAACCTGCTCTTCCCAAGTCACAAGGCACCCTGGCCCCTGGCAGCCCTCAGTACAAGGAGGAACTGCTCCCTCAGGGCTTGCAGCCAAGGAAGATGTGGGAGTTCCAGGCTCCATGAGCTTGGGGCACAGCAACCCTCACCACAGGGAGTGCAGGAGACACAGTGCCCTGCATGCTTATGCATGGTGCCTATCCAGCACTCAAACCCAAATGACAATAGTAAAAAACTCAGTTTATTTCTCTCTAAAGGCAGAGCAGCTTTCCTTTAAAAACCAGGTAATTTCACTTGTGAGAGGGTGTGGGGCTGAACTGCAGGGGAAAGGCCTTCATCACACACTGCTCCAGGCCAAGAGCTTTTGCTCCCTGAGGGTGTACACTGCCTGCATCAGGCAGGCTCAGAGCATGCAGGACGGCCTGCACGGCCTGGCAGTGAGCAGAGCCATGTGTACACTGCCTGCATCAGGCAGGCTCAGAGCATGCAGGACGGCCTGCACGGCCTGGCAGTGAGCAGAGCCATGTGTACACTGCCTGCATCAGGCAGGCTCAGAGCATGCAGGACGGCCTGCACGGCCTGGCAGTGAGCAGAGCGAGGAGCATGGCTCCCCTGCCCCAGCTGGGAGCAGCTGCAGCTCCAGGCGGTTCATGCAGGCGGCACAGGACGAGGAGCAGGTGCTGCAGGCTGTGCACTCCATGGCAGCAGTGCCAGCAGCCCCCGTGCCAGCAGGGCGGTGCCAGGGCGGTGGCAGGCACTGGCTGGCCCAGGTGCAGGCACAGGGTGAATCCTGAGTGGCTGGTCCGTTGTTGCAGAGGTTTGGCTTAGCCCAGGGGAGCACTCGGGCCAGCAGTCCTGGTGCCGGTGCTGGGGGAGCCTCCAGCCCCTCCCAGCCCCGTCCAGCTGTGCGGGGGTGGCCCCCGGCGGCAGCACAGCAGCTGTGCCCGAGGAGAGCTTGATGGGGGCACAAGAGGTATTAATCCTGAAAAGGGAGAGAAAGGAAGACATGCACTGTAAGGTGTACAGCTGGGAGTCCAGCACAGCCTGCAAAGGGAAGCAGATGTTCCCAGGTGAGCATCAGCCCCACCTTGCCTTACAGAGGACATGCTGGGGGATGAGCCAGTGCAGCACTGAAGAAACTTACCTGCTGGGCTGTGGAGTCCCTTCCCCAGCTCCTCCATGCTGCTTTGGAAGAGAACACAGCATCCATCATACCCCAAGCATGGCCTCCTGAGAGACACGGCATGCTCACGGCCCTGGCACGGCAGGAATGGCACAGCAGCAGCAGGCACTGGGGGTGCAGAAGGCCCTAAGCCCCCTTGCTACCAAACTCTCCTCCCAGGCCAGCCTGTCCCGAGATTGCAAAGCCATATCTCCTTCCCATCAGGAGCTCCATGTCCAAAGGGCTGGTGTTTCATTGGGCTACACATACAGCTCCAGCCTGTGCACGCACTGGCTCCCGGCTGACACTGGCTCAAGCCAAGCTCAGACATGCCAGACCCAGCTGGGTGCCCACTGCATGTACATGGAGAACAGCCATGATGGAATGAGCCTCACAGGCCCACCACCCACATGTCTGCAGAGCTGCAGGTAAATCCTCTGCTGCTGGACTGTTCCATCAGCTCCTCCCCAGCACAGCACACACACCATCAAGCTCAGCCCACAGCCCCAGCCCACGCAGAAGTCAGCATGACCCAGCCTCCATCCAGGTCCAACCCCCAGGGAAATCAGTGAGAGAAGAGGGACTACTGAGTCCCCTGTGAGAGGCATGTCTGGACGGGCTGGCCTCATCAAAGACTGGCAGAAACAGAGTAAGAAACATCTCTGGGTGCAGCCGGGGGGCCGGCATCTGTACCCCAAATCTCTGCTGCAAAAGCAGGACTGTGTGGTCTGTTCCTCCACCACTCAGCCCTCTGTTCACTCGAGCTCTCAGCGGACAGAAGCAGAGAAATACCAGGAAGCTTCCCCCTTGGTTCCATGCAGCTCTCCTCCATGATCCCACCATGCCCACAGCCCGAGCAGCTCCCCTTGCACGGGGCACAGAGAAGGAGACAAGACAGGCTTCATCAGAGAGATCCCTGAATACAAGCAGCAGCTCACCACCTACCCAGACAAGGTTTCACTGACATTATCATCTTCCTCCTCCTCTTCCTCCTCCTGGCAAGCAAACAAACAAAAACCCACCATGACATCCCACTGCACGGGCAGGTCTCTGCCAGGAGTGAGGCTGGGCCCCTGCACAAGACAGTCACTACCCAGGCACAGTACAAAGGTTTCCCACAAGCAGTGAGGGACAGACTGGAGTGCTGGGTTGCCAGAACCCTCTGGGCTCAGGCAAACAAGGACAGACAGGCTACAGCTCATCCCACATCCCCTCCAGGTGCAAAGCCCCAAACACAAGGTGTGAGCATGGGCCATGCTGACAGAGCTGCTGATACAGTGCACCTCTGCCCAGGGACAGTGGTGGGTGGTGGGTGGGCACACCCTGCAGCTGGAGGAACAGGCAGAGACCACCAGGAGCAGGCTGTGCACAGCTACAACCCCAAGCACTGCCAGGCTGGACTCACACTGGAAGCATGAGGGCAAGGACCAAGCATCCAGAAGTTGCCAGACAGGGATGTAGTGAGACCAGTATGACAATGCTCCAAGTGCTGTGGCCATGCAGGAGGTGCAGTGCAGATGGGCTGGCCTGAGCCTTAGCCCAGGCTGGCAGGATGATGATCCAAGGGTCCTCTCCTTCAGAGGCAGCTCTCACCCCAGCCATGACACCAAGTGTGCAGCCCAGGTGCCAGGTCCCTGTGTGACAGGGCCAGCAGAGCAGGGCTGAGGCTGCAGCAGTGCTGGGCCTGACAGCAGAGCTCCTGGAGCACAGACACCAACCAAGGAACTGCCCCCGTGTGAGCACAGTGCACCTCCTCACATCAGGCTGCCACGTGTGACGGGGGCTGTGCAGGTATCAGCAGGGCTCTGGGAGGAGCAGCGAGCTGCAGAGGGGTCACTCTGTCCCTGCCCTAATTGCAGACAGCCCTCAGCACGGGCCTGACTTGCACATACTGTACCCCAAAGTGGTGTGTGAAGGGAGCTCTCCCTGGGGGGGCCGGCTCACGGGCTCTGCCGGCCTCACTGCTCTCCAAGACACATGAAGGGTGAAGGGGCTGATCCTGCCTAGAGCCTGGCACGGGGCAAAAGCAGCAGAGTTAGTGCCTGCAACCTGCAGAAAGCCCAGCTGGGAATGTACAGGCAGGACTGTGGGTGAGGAACAGGGAATCCCCGCTGCGCTGGCAGGAGGGAGCAAACAAAGGTGAGGGGGCACTGCTCAGGCCAGGTACCAGCAGCCCTGAGCTGGGCTGCAGCTCAGGCCATGCACAGCAGCTCAGCATAGAGAGCAGCTACACCTCCCAGCCCAGCTGAAGATGGGGGAATGGCAGAGAACACCACCACAGGGACAACATTCTCCCTGCCTGGTGTGTTTCACCAGAGAGACACTGATTCCAGAGCTATGCAGTGAGATAAATCTGAGAAATTCCTCCTACCTGCATGTGCTGCTTCCCAGAGATCCAGTGCCATCTGAAAGGCCTGGGCCACAGTCAGAGTCACAGCCTGGGCCTGTGTACATGAAAGAGAGGGAATGCCTGCTTCCACCTGGGCCCTCAATGCAGGATAGCATTCAGATGGAAGGCCAGAGCCCAGTTCTGTGTCTGTCTGCCCCTGGGGGCCAGCACCCCCAAGAGCAGACCCTCAGGAGCTGGGACAGGAAAGCCCCTTTGCTCACTGCCTGCCTGTGCAGCACATGGGCACACCTGATCCCTGGCTCCAAACCCAGCTGAGGGTCTCCCCTTCTCTCGCTGAGGGGAAGAAAGCAGGACCTTGCTCCCACCCACACCTCGTGGCGCCAAGCGCAGAAGGTGAGTGCTTACAATCTTCTTCTTGGGTGAGAGGAAGGCATGGCACTCCAGTGCCCCGCTCTCCTGGCTCTGGGCGACATAAGCAAAGACTTTGTTCTGCAGCTTGTCTGTTGTGCAGTAGGAGATCCTGTGGGCAGAGAGGAGCTGTCAGGACAATCCAGGACACTGGTATGGCACATCTGCTGCCCTCCCAGGACATCAACAGGCACTGCTGACAACCTGAGGCTTTCACCTGCCCAAGCTGACCAGGCAGCCCAAGCCCCCCGCAAGGGCCAGAGGCTGCCTGGGGTCTGCAGCAGGTAAGAGATCACTGCATCCACAGGCACTCCCTCCATGCCATCCCAGAGTGCCCTGCAGTTTTCTGACGGCCAGCTCCACGCAGTGTGTGAATTCAAGCACTGGGACAAGAGGAGCACAGAAGGGTGGGCCATTGCCCCCCAGGACATAGCTGGGGGCCAGGCAGAGAGATGTCCTGTCTCTGCTCCCCATTTGGCCACCAGACTGCACACTCGCTGCACCTCACACTCAGCACCCACAGACACCCAACCCAGCCAAAGGACAAGCGGCAGCAGGAGAAATCAACATCAGTTCTCACAGCAACTGCCTTTAGCCTGTCTAATTAGCTGCAGCCAGAAGTGTGGAACCATGGCAGTGGAGGCAGACATGCAGTCCTGTCCTAACTGTGGGGCTTTCCAATCACAAGCCTCAAAATCCTGCTGAATGCCAGAATAGAGAGGCAGGGCACAGGCAGATGGTGGATGGGCTGATGAACGCAAGAGCACCCAGAACCCTGCCTACACTCAGCCTCAGGCAGTGCTGGGAGCACAGCAGAGAGGGCACAGGCCTCAGGGAGCCAAGGAAAGACCTAAGCTTGAAGGTACTGCTGACACAAGGCCCAGCCCTCCCTGGCTTCTCAAATTCCCATCAGTCTTCAGCTGGCTGCTGGGAAACACCCAGCCCATACCCGTGACATGCCCACCTGTAGATGGAGATGTTCTCCACCATCTCCTTAGTGTCTGCATCCTGCAGTGAGATGCCCCTTGGAGACACTGTCAGAATCACCTTCTGAAACTTGCGAGCTCCAACCCGTGCCTGGCAGTGGAAAAACACCAGCAATCTCTGCAAACCTGGCAAGGGTCTTCACCTCAGCCCCTTGCTGGAAGGAGCCCCACAGACTCTGCACAGTATCACTCACTTGGATACTTGCTGCAAAGGCTCCTGCTGTAGGATGGGACAGCAGAGCCTGGCAATCAGACATGCCCTGCACAAAACACTCTTCAAATCTGTTCACCCTACTGCCACACACACAGGGAGGGACAGACCCCACTCCTCCCAGTCCTTCACCCTTCTGTCCGTGCTGTGGCAGGCACAGCTCTGCTCCCAGCCAGGCCCAGGTGTGGGAGCAGGTGGCTGTCCTGCAGGAAGACAGCTTCCCCACAGCACACAGGCAGACACCAGCAGCCTCCTGCACGCCACCCTCCTCTTGGGAAGGGCACAGCCCCTCACTGGAGCTCAGGGCTAGGTCACAGACACTTCCCTGTGAAGGGGCTGGGCCCTGACCCCACACACCAGGGCCCCAGGGTCTCACCGTGGCCACGATCCTGCGGATGGCAGCAGCAGCCATGTCTTCTCCTTTTGGTTTTTCTACCAGCGTCATGCCCAGATACTTGAGGGTGAAGCACATGCCCTCAAGCAGTGGCTCCTGCATATCAGCCCAGCTCTCAGGAAGCTCTGCAAAGACAAAAGCCCTCAGAAGCCATGTGCCAGCAGCCCCACAGCTAGTCCTGCCAGAGCCACCCCACCCATGGATCCAGCAGCAGTGTTGCTTTCTGCCCTCAGCGGGATCAGTCCTGGCTCTGTGACACTCTCACAATAGGAACAGAAGGAGTGGGCAGTTCACCCTTGAAGCTTTAGTCCTCTAGCCCTGGAAGTTCAGGCTCTGTCAGCACTGACAGACAGCTCCTGCATATCTGCACAGGGCTGAGGATGCTGCAGCCCTCACTGCTCTATGCAGAAACCTTGCGTTCCTGGGTTCATTACTCTGCTTCATTACAAACAAAATGTTCTCTGTAATGCATTCATCTCAGCCACCTGAGTTGCTGGCACGCCTGAAGAGTAGCAGCATTCACTGCCACGCTCAGATCAAAATCCCCAGGCTGGCCCAGTGTAAGCAAAGCCAAACCCCTTGGCATCTCAGCAGCAGCAGCAGGATACTTGGATGCCAGGGCAGGGGCAGCTCAGTCAGCACTTTTGGTCCCAGCTGGGGTGACTGGGGAGCAACTGCATCACAGATGCATTGTTAAGAAAGAGATGGGAATTGCCAAAGTATGTACTGTTCACACTGAGCTAATACTTTTCAGGGTTATTTTCACCTCTTCCCTGGGATTTGCTCCCTGAGAATTACTGGCACACTTGCAGAAGGGTGCAACTCATAATTGGAATAATCTGAACCCACAGGGAAATCAGACCTTATTTGCACAGCATACTCTTCCGCAAGTGCCAACTATCAGGGAGGCTGCCTGGTGCCATGCAGGCACCAGCGACCTCCACCCTGGGCAGTAGGACCCTGCGCCACTCCAAACTCTGAGGACAGTCCATGTATACCAGGCCTGCCAGGGCAGGTGCTGGTGCTCCAGCAAAGCCCTGGGCAGCTGGACACAGCCAAACACAGCCCTGCTGAGCCACAGGGTACCTGCAGGGTCATGGCGTCATGGAATAATGGAACGGTTTGGGTGGGAAAGGACCTTAAAG